TTACCTAATTTATCGGGGTACTACCATAATTAATTTGGGTACTACCAAAATTAATTGGAAATGTCCATATCATCCAACAACCTCGTGATTTTTTCCCCGTGCAGATTCAAATGTAGAACATCTTTAATTGAGGGGCTTGGAGGACAAGGCGCATAAGTGTAGTTTTTGAAAAAATTGAGATGTTAATGATTTCACGTGGACGTAATTCTACCAAACAGACCTATGTGGAGGTGAGAAATGTGGGGTGTGCTCGTTAGTTCTCTTTGCGTAAGAGTGAATGGGAATAATTGTGCGCCAGTGACGTCAGCGGCAATGAGTGCGCACTCTAACGACGGGGAGATGGTCGTCGGGGCGCTTTAACTCGTGAGCCCTGTCCACAAGGCTCTCTTGCCATGCCCGCGGCTCATGAGTTCCGCATTCAGTTGGCACATAGGTCTCTTTGATAGAATGTAAAATCCCGCTTTTCCAATTCTTCAAAAGGAACCACGCCCACTTTTACATTGCTTCTTATGCAGCTCTCTAGAGCACACCCCATATTTCTCATCGCCACATAGGTCTGTTTGGTAGAAATACGTCCACGTGTAAATAGTCTTACTGCACATTCCGTGAAAAATTCGCTCCCAAATTCCAATTTTTAAGCATCAAAAAGTCAATTTGAACTTTCATACTGCCATATGGATCCGTGTAATTTCAAAACTTCGAACACGTACTTCTCAAAATAGCAAAAGCTGCACTTATGCGCCTGGCTCTCCAAACCAAGATAGATCATTGAAGAATGTTCCTGCCGAAAATGATCTTTCAAAATCTTGAAATAAGGTCAAAAACACTGTTTTCATTTCTCAGCCCATATCAATGTATCGATATCGATGGTTAATTGGAAACAGTACTTGTGGTTTTGTTTTGAAATTTTGGAAGATGATTTTCGGTACGAACACTCTACAATGATTTGTCTGCAGACTGAAATTTAGATTTTTCCAAAATAATTCACCTAAAGGTTGAAATTTGAGATATATCGCTCGTACCCAGAATGCGTTGCACATGCAAAAGCTGAAGATGCACTTAACGGAGAGAAACAGTTGCACGATCTCAGAAGCACCTGATCGCGCTTACAAAGTGTTGAATTGGACGTATTGCGTCAAACGGAACTATGTGCATTATGGCGTGAGCCCTGTTATTCATATATTCTTATGGGTCTCAGGACTCATGTCTTAATGCACATACTTCCGTTTGACAGAAACACGTCCATTTCCCACTCTCCAACCACCCTGCCAAAATGGTTCCATGGGGAGTTCACGGCCCAATTTGAGTATTAAAAAGAAAAAGATTCTCCTCCGTGCGTTTTTTCTCCCTTTTTTTCGAAACTCCGCACGTGAGAAGCCGCGAGTCCGAGAGACTCGGATCAAGATGAAAAAAAAAATTGTGTTGTGAGCAATGACATCGATACGGGATCGATCACAGGCGATAATGGAGGATCAGTCGGAGCATCCGGACTAATCACTTATACCCACACTTCGCCTGCTCCCGAGTCCGGGTCGGGTCTCGGACAGTGGCGAGGCGCGAATGATCGATTATCGATATTTCCCCATTTAAAGCTACGGTAAAGAATCGATTATCAAGATGCTCGTTGCGAACGCCCTGTTCATCGATTATTTTCCATGGGTTTAAATGGGAAATCAATCGATGTATCGCAAAACACGTACGCCACTGGTCTCGGACATTCCCGACTCCGCGCCGGGCGGCGACGATCCAGTTGTGTCCGCGAGGGGGGTTCATTAAAAAGTCACCTCTTGACCCAGAAAACGAGGACTTTCGGTGGTGGACTCACCAAGAGTCGGAACTGACAAACAGACAAACATCGCCCGAGAGTATTGTTTGTTTGTCTCAAACCGTTCGATCCGTCGGGGATGGCTAAGCGCGCGGTGTTGACAAGTCTGTCGGCCTCCCGAAGAGACGAGTCCGATATTTTAGTTTTCTGCCGTGGCTCAATGGAGCGGACACAATTTGGAAGCTTTAAATGCTTATGGCTCCGTTTATACAAAACTAAGAGTTCTGAAAGGGGTTCTCTCGGTTTTCTTGTGAAATTTACTTCTAGAAGCACCCCTTGAAATTTAAAATGTGACGAAATAAACATCAAATTTTGCAGTCTTTGTCAAAAATTCCATGTCCGACCTCCCTTTTCGCCTCGATCCACTGTGCGGAGCGGCGGCTTTGATGTCCTTCTTCCTCCAATTCCTCGTTATAGCAATTTGTACATCTTAACTTTTACTAGCGCATATTAGTAACCTCCTCTCAGCGATGATAATTTACGAGTTCGGAATGGCTGATTTGCGCTCCTAGAATTTTGCAATTTGGAAACTTTAAACACTTATAACTCCGTTTATACAAAAGTATGAAGTTCTAAAAGGGGCTCCATTGGTTTCCTTGTAAAATTGCCTTCCAGGCGCAGCCGCTAAAGTTTAAAATGTGGCGAAATAAACATAAATATTTGCAGTTTCAGTAAAAAATTTCATGTCCGACCTCCCTAATTGAATCGATCCACTGTGCGTGATAACGAAGAGGACAGTAAGTGAAAAAATGAAGCTTTGAGAGAAGGGGCTCAGAAGCGTCTGACCAGAATATTTTATGGAAAGAAGGCTTAGTTCTTTGTCAAATTGCCACCAATCGTCCGAAAAACTCCTAGATATCGTTTGGATGATTAAAAATCTATCGATTTTATTTAAATTACATAAAAAGGGTATTATTCATTTTCATGCTAGGTTGTTTTCAGGCAAGACAGCCGTAGTGCTATCTTCTGCATGCTTTCGTGGTTGCATTTTGGAAATACAAAAATCACATTTTCAGATTAGAAATCGGCAGAGGAAGGTGGCACTTTACTTTAAAGAACTGTTTTCATTGGCTATCTGGAGGAATAAGGTCACTCACAGCTGTCTTACCTGAAACTACGCCATTTTTGGCGCACTTAAGGCTTTCTCATGTGTCTCGTTTTTATACAATTAAAATGAATTTTGCTATTTTAGCAATTTAAGTGATTTCATCTAAAAGAGATTAGACGAATTTTGATGGAAACTCGATTCCGAAGATTCCGAAGAACACTTACTGCTCTCTTCGCTATCGCGGCACTTTTTACAATATAAGCCTAGCCTAGAGCCATACTTATAGTCGTCCTTTAACCATCTCCTTTCCTTAGAGGACTTTCAATGCGCCTCGATGATAAAAGGATAAAACGGTTTACTTTCCTATATCTGCGTTAAAGTCTCCAAGTCTGAGCCTCAAATGCAATCCGACAGTGCGGTACTTTATAAGTCTTCAAGGCGGTGATCTTTTCTACAAAAAAAAAAATGTATCATAGACCAAGGATAATTTAGATGAGAGAAATTTTGGAGAAAATTTATTTTCGAAAATTTTGCCGTCACCGCGCCACGGCAGTTCGTAGCAACCGGCTGGGGTGGATCTCTTGCCGGAGTTTTCGGTTGAGTTTGGCAGCGATGAAGCGCGCGTTGTCAGGAGTAAGTACTTGAGAAAGTGACCATCATTATGACTTGCATAGCATCTTTATGGGTGTTGCCGGAACAGCTCGGACATCATGTAATGGATCACCAGACAGGGTCAGACCTTAACTTTGTAGTCGTGTTTTTCAAAATAGTCATCTGTAGAGCACGGTGAACGATTCCCATAACCAACTGGACTGAAGTAAACATGGACGAGCCGAGTTACATTTAAAAAAAAATATTTAGGAATAGATTTGATTCTAATTAGTCGCACAGTTTCTCTTGTGAAGTACTTGAAGTCGAGAAATTATATTTTGTCCAAGAGGTACTGTACTTCATCTCTGATATTGAGTCTCATTGAAGGATAAAGCTTCAAACTACTTTCATCTTCGGTTCAATGTTGATGTGACTTATATGCTTTTTATTGTGCTCAATCCAATGCATAACGTATGGAAGTACAAATGGAATACAAAATACATCCCACTCCAATTAGACGTGAAACCTGATTTGAAAAATATGCTTCAACTGCCAAGTGCCCGTCTTAAGTTGATATGTATTTCTCATCAACGAGTTATAAATAAGGACAAACGAATGAATAATAGGTGTAACCGAGGACTAAATTAAATTCACTAGAAATCAGTTACTTTTGGACCACATTCTACAATGAAGAACTGTTATTTTTAATTCATCCTATCTGCACAAGAGAAATAATAGCATTTACGGAGGAGGTGTTGCAATTCATTTTTACAGAGCGCCACAGAGGTATACAAAAGACAGATATGCATGTTGAAAATAATTCGTCTAATGCTGCCTAATGTTTTTGGGGTTAAATTTTTCATGACATGGTATACATATTTTTTTATTATGGGACCCCTGCCAGAAGAAAATAGGTTTATTGACAGGAAGTAATTGTAGGCGGATATTGAATTGATCTACACTAAATTTGAATGCTCCTTCGAGTACAATGCTAATTGTTCATTGTTTTAAAATCTGGTTCTCAATGCATCTAAAATCATGTCGGGAAAAGAAAAGCCTACTAAAGCTTCTACGTCATAGTAGAGTGGGATGATAGAATCTATGACTCATTAATTAAATTAGTGAGACAGATGAAATCAGTTCCGACGTTGAAAAGACAATGACCCCTGCATGTCATTTTGTGTCTGCAGTAATGAAAATCTCTGTCTGGTTGAATAATTATTCATTTTTTGACTGGTTTCTCAAGATGTTTTGCGATGTAAATCTGAAAGGAGCCAGTCTTATAAGTCGCCATAAAAATTAATAAATCGTTGAAAAATGAAAATGTTTCGGCTCATCTCCACATTTCCGATGACGTTCGATGATGAAGAGTTCCAGCTAGGACTTTTTAGATTCATCAGAAATTCTCGTTTTATCATGTGGGTCGATTAAACTTTTAAAAACGTTCAATGAGTTTTTGTAAACTTTTTCAACTACAGCCGTTTTTTTAAAAAATGTGATCCAGTTTTAATTCCTGCTATTTTTGTTTTGTGGCAGGACTGAGCAGGTGATCTCCGGAACTATGATTTTGCTGCGAGCCCTTTTATTTGCTTGTGTCGTCATACACCGGGTAAGGAATACTCATTTTTATTGTTTGCATTCCAAGAGCTAAGAAAACGGATTATCCTAGTCATCTATTTCATTTGCTCAGTTTGAATCGGATTTAGCAGAGAAAAACCAATGCTATTACAGTGTTGTAAAAAGTGTGTATCTTCATCTTCATCCAAGGAAATCGCAAAGAAATAGGAAAAAGGTTTTGTTATTGCACCAAAAAATCATTGGTTTGGAATGAGAACGATCTTAAGCAATTTTGAAAGTTCTGTAATTATGCGTTGGTTTCCTCTGTAAAATGCGATCCAGCTGATGGCTTACTAATAATCATGAAAAATATATTCATTAAACAAATTAATTACTACAGCTTCATCACATGAAGGAAAAACGACTTACGATCATTTGGCAGTTGCTAATTTTTTTCCGATATAATAATAATTTCCAAGGAAAGCTACATATATTTTTTCTATCTTGAATTGATCGACACAGCATATTCGATTTTGAGTAAAATCTTGAGAAAAATTTGGAGAAAAATATATCTGAATCATTTGAAAAATTTAGTTTATGTCCGTAAAAAGTTTGCAAATTCCAAATGTCCATAGGCGTTTTTCCTTGGTACAGTGGAACTGAAAATAATATGCTTATGGTTTTTATATATTCTAAGCATTCCTCGGAATACATTTTGCCTCTATTTCGGCATACTAGCTTATATCTACGTGCGTTTTATAGGGAACTCTTTCGTTGTGTTTTTTAAAGCACTGGCAGTGGCAAATACATATATTCCCGTACCGTAGCCCGTGAGTACGGCCTCCACGGCCGGTGTTTTTTTTGCAGTGTGTGATAAACAGTGCTCCTATTCCATGTCCGTCAAAAGTTCCGGGACTTGGAACTTATTTGCTCCAATTTCTCCCACTCCGTGGCCGTCAAAGGTTCCGGAATTCTGGTTAGATTTTTTCAAAAGTTCCGGAAAATGCAAAAGATCCGGAACATTTCGAGTTTTTCAAAAGTTCGTAGAAAATTCAGGAAAATCACGTAAGTTCCGAAGTTCGGCGCTAGTTCCGGGTAATGGAAACACAGGTGATGAACATTTTGACTGCATTTTGCAAAAAGGAGCCAAGAGCGTTCCAATAATGCTATGATTGTGCAACTTACATTCTTTGCAATAAAATTACTGAAATCGTGCAAAAAATTAATTGATGTCTTGTATTTTTAGTATATTGGGAGTAAAGACTGAACATGTTCAGAAGATCAGTTTACATTTGCAAGGTAAAGAAAGTTGCCGAATCTTAGCGACATTGGAATGCTCTTGGTTCCGTTTCGCAAAATGCAATCCATTCGACATTTTGCGAAAATTTAAATTTTCGGCGGGAGAAGAACTAACAGTTACCGATTCGCTGAAAAAGACCCGTCGGTACGGTTCATGCCGGCGGCGCGTAACTGAAACCCCCGGTAATTTTGACCCGGACCAATTGACCCAATGACGAACGGTATCGCGTCTCCGCGTACGTCACTCGCGGTCCCGCGTTGCCAGACTTCCGCCGGATCCCGCCGTTCGAGGCCCTGAATCGGTCATTTACGGCACCCGGGCGGCAACCCTGCGGAGGATCAATACGGGTGGATTGAGCCGCGAGAATGCGAGCAACGACGAACAAGCTAATTTGGTAAAAACAAGCTCCGGGCTCCGGGTTGAATAAGGCGTACTACGGGAAAATAGGTCCGTGCGGAATCGTTTATGGCTCTGCCGATCCACGCGCGTTCGTCGACGTCCAGTTAGACGACGTTGCCTCGTTCTCGTCCAGGGTTAGGGCCAAGGGTCAAGCGCTGAATGAAATCAGGGTCAAGGGTAGTCGCCAGCGGGCTGATTATTGAAATTGATGGACAAAGCTATAGACAAAGAAGACATAGAAAGGATAGAGCTATCCTGTTGGTTGAAATGGGTGGTTCTTATGAGGGAGAAATGATGGACTAACTATCTACCCTCGTGAGTTGCCGTTACTTAGTCTGTTATCTACCACCTTTGTCCATTGCAACCACCCGCTTCCACCAATAGGATCCCTCCACTTCTCTTTTGTCTTCTTTGTCTATAGCTTTGTCTATCGATCTCAATAATCGGCCCGCAGGGTTAGGACCAGGGGTCAAGCGCTGAATTGAATCAGGGTCAAAGGTAGTCGCCACTGGGCTGATAATTGAAATTGATAGACAAAGCTATAGACAAAGAAGACAAAAGGGATATGGAGGAATCTCAACAAGGAATATCAATGTCGCAGGCAAATAGTGAAATCAGGCATTTTGTCAAATGCCTGGGCAAATGGTCAAATATTCTTACTCAGATTGAAATTTTTATTCTCATCATAATTTTAGGCAAAATAATTAATTTTTTCTGTAAGTAAGAATTCTCCGTAAAAATGCGTATCATACAGTAGTCTTATACAAGATTTTTAGCGCCTGAACAAATATTTATCTTGAAATTTTTAGCATATCATAAAATACAGAAATTTTCGAAGTTTTACCATTCAAATATATAAGCATCATTTGAGGAGGAAAGAGCAGGAGGAGTTTGTAAATTTGATGAGTTTTTTTCCCCAAAATATCGAAAAATCGTGAGATCTTTACCATAAATTTTCAAAATTTCGTTAACTGTCAAAATTTGGCTATCTGCCTGGGCATTTGATGAAATGCCTGATTTAACTAATTACCCGCGACATCAATATGAAGCCCAAGAATATTCAGGCATTTTAATCCATACAATTTTCTCTTGGCAAAAAATCTTTCCAAAAATCACTAACACACGGGAAAAAAGTATTTATAATGCAGAATTTAGGCTCATAAAAAATTAAAAAGAAAAACTACTCTTGATTCAATCGGGATTTTTTCTTGAATCAAATGGAAATTCGCTTAAATTAAGAGGCTGGGCTATTGATTCAAGGTAAAATCCACGTGAATCAGGAGTATGTTTTTCTTTCCGAATGTTTTAAGAGTCGGGACTCTGGATCCAAGACACTTTATTTTGCAGTGGGCTGATTGTTGAAATTGATAGGCAAAGCCATAGACAAAACCATAGACAAAGAAGACAAAAGGAACCCTATCGGAGGAGGCGGGTGGTTACAATAGACAAAGGCGGTGGGATAGACTAACTAATGGCAACCGCAGAAAGATCTACAGGCCAGAGGTTCCACTATAAAATTAAGTGAAAATGTTTATAGAATCCAAAAAATTAGTGTATAAGTACCACAATTTTAGGGAATAATCCCTAACATTCTCTTACGAGCAGTAGAGGCCTTTCATGCAGCCATTTTTCGTGAAACCTCAGGACAATAACCCCCTTCAATTTTCAAGATTTCAAGGCCAGATTCTCTCCCTTCATGCGCATTTGCAAAAAGTCAAAGAAAATCGTCCCGCAGAATTCAAGGACCCTTTTCATACATTCGGTCACACACATACTAAATTGAAAAAAAAAAATAATTAAAATAAAAATGCGACAACCGTGAGCCGCAGAAAGGGGAGCACGGCCCCCTCATATGGGGAGGGGGAGGGAGAGGGGAAGTTCACCTCATCGACCGTAACAATCAGGCTTCATTCGGCGAGACTGATGCCAACCACGCAACTCAACTTCAGGGACCGCGTTTGTAAGTAGGCGGGGGAGGGGCAAGGACTGCGCATCATAACGCACGCACATAATCGCGATCGACGGAGCCATCTTCGATTGTGTGTGTTTGCGTGTGCGGTACTCCTGCGCTATATCGCAACGCAGTTTGCGGTGTTTTTTTCTCCGTATCGAGGAGGGGTAAGCCTAGTGGCGGACGCCGTTACGTCGGTGCTCTCGGCCATCGATCGATTCATGTTGACAGTTTGAGGAAGAAACGGCCTGAAGAGATTCAACCACACTGAAAAAAGTATGGTAACGGCTACCATAAGTCTACTTTATTTCTTACACAATGATAATATTTGGTGAAAATGACCAGAATGAAGAATTTGCACGCAAATTTTTTATTGCCTCATCTGAAAGTGCTTAAAGAGCTGATTTCACAGAATTTTTTATGATTTTTTTCTGTTATGGGAAACAGTATACAAAAAGATTTAAAAGTGAGAAAATGCATGCCAAAAAAAAATGCATATGTCGCAGGCAAATAGTCAAATCAGGAATTTTATCAAATGCCTAGGCCGGTAGTCAAATTTTGACAATTTACGGAATCTTGTAAATTTATGGTGAGGAGTTAACTGGTTTTCAACATTTTGGGAGGAGTAACTCTTCAAATTCGCGAACTCTCCTTTGTGCCCTCCTTTTCAAATGCCTCTCGCGCATATAAATGTTGAAATTGTAAAAATTTCATGTTTCATGACATGCTGTACATTTCAAGATAAATGTGCGTTTAGGAACTAAAAATCTTTTAAATACAATTGTATGCTGCATATTTTTACAAAGAATTCTTTCTTACTGGAGAAATTAATTATTTTGTCTAAAATTAGTGAAAGAATCAGAATTTCAATCTTGGTTGGAATATTTCACTATTTGCCTGGGCATTTGACAAACTGCCTAATTTTACTATTTGCCTTCGACACATACATTACAGGTTCTAATTCTCGGTATCTATGTTTCTCATTGCATTTACAAACATGTGACTCGAGTAGTCATATCCAATGTGGAAAAACAAAGGAATTCTATTGATCATCAGGCAACTAGACGACATTGACAATCACAGGGGAGGGGTGCCCCTCAGCCCCTTGTCCTATTTGAGTGTGCGCTGTGCGCCTTATGAGTACAGATCCGTTACCAATCAGACGAACCCGAGTGTATGAACTCATGCTAGTCTTGTCTCCGCTTGTTCACGAGTGTACAAATAGCGCGTACCACGTTGTACTGCCTGTAAAAGGGCAGCCCGCTCTGTGCTGGATCCAAGCCTCTCGAATGCGTGCGTTGCTTCAGAACAGACCTCTAGCCATGACGTCATTTTAGAAAATCTTCATTTAGTTCTGTACCATAGTCGTATTTTGTTCGGAGACAACACCCGCAACGTGTTG